TTCTACCTTTATTTACTGAGCACATTCTTGCTCTTGGTATTGTGCTAGGAATTGAGGATGCTTGCAGTGGTATGTCATCTGAAAAAATATTTTAAAGCATAGCAGACAAAGCTTGATCCTTGAAGCTTCATCAGAGCTTCCAACAGCTGACAAGGAGAGCTTATAGGCGGAAGAGATGGACCACAGGTTCTAGAGCCTTCACTGATAAATAAAACATTTTAGATTGTTTTCAAACCTAACTTGAGTCTGCCTGCCCAGCCTAGCAAGCTAAACACTGACATTGGGATTTTCAGAGAGAGAAAGTGAGGCACTTACTGCAGAGTGCCAAGCAAGGAGAATCAGACACACTTCATGCTTAAGACCCAGACTCCCCAGTGGCTCACATGTAAGAGTTTTTTTGGTTTTGGTTTTGTTTTTTTGAGACGAAGTCTCACTCTGTCACCAGGCTGGAGTGCAGCGGCACGATCTCGGCTCACTGCAGCCTCCACCTCCCAGGTTCAAGTGATTCTCCTGCCTTAGCCTCCCCAGTAGCTGGGACTACAGGCATGTGCCACCACACCCAGCTAATTTTTGTATTTTTAGTAAAGACAAGGTTTCACCATGTTGGCCAGGATGGTCTCAATCTCTTGACCTCGTTATTCACCTGCCTTGGCCTCCCAAAGTGCTGGGATTACAGGTGTGAGCCACTGAGCCTGGCCACATGTAAGAGTTTTTAAAGGTGGGGAGGCAGAGGTTATAGGCAAAGTAATAAATCAATACATGGAGATTATACTTTGACTTGTCCCAAAATGGTGGGACATCTTATAGCAAAGGGCTTACAGGTCATAGGTGGATTCAGACTTTCTTTAATTTGCAACAGGTTAAGGAAGCAAGGTTTTGCCTAAAACCTTGGGGTCATCAGAAAGGAATGTTATGGTTTGGCCTGTGAGTGTGACTGTCTCTAGGTCACTCTGGAAGAAATTTATAAAAAGATTGGCAGTCGAAATTCAGTCCTCACTTCCCCCTTATCTGAAATCTACATGACAGTGATCAGCATGTTCCATCTGGTGGGGGTACAGGTTTCTGAAAAACAACTCAGGGACACAGGTCTAGATGTTATCTTTAGTTTCTATAGGGAACCAAATATCTTGTGGCTCTAACTTACTTGGGTGACAATTGTTTTAAGCTACCGTTGCCTTCTTGCTTTTCAAGTTGTTCATTTACTTCTCAAGTCTAGCTAGGTGCCTGGGATTTCCCTTGGAGGGACTCGAGATTTTATTTCCATGCTTGGTGGGGTGGGCAGCAGGCCCCTAAGAGGGATCCCTGCTCTGTCTTAAAATGAGAGATGTCCTCGGGGAGCTTATGCTGGGATAGAGACATCGGGAAGGTCCGGGCCTTGAAGGATAGATGACATTATGCTGGGAAGAGATGAGGTCAGAGAGGATGTTTCCAGGTGGAGGAAGAACAAGTGCAAGGGTGGGAGAGAAACGGGTGTGTTCAGGGAAGAGCGAGGGGCCCAGTATGGCTGTCTTCTTTCACATCCTCTCCAACCCTGGAGAAGCCAGCATTTGGGTGCTTCAAGATGACAGCTTTCCAAAAATAATTTATCTTCAGCTTTGGTGTGTGTCTGATAGTTTTTTTGCTCAATGATTCACATTTCACTCAGGGTAGTAGTAAAGTGAATTATTTCCCTGAGCACAGAGACTGGTGAAATTGAGTGTGTGTGTCTGTGGAGCGGGGGAGGTGGTGGGTGTTAGGGAGGAGGCCTGGCTGAGCAAATCTGGCCTGGGATTAAGCATTTTCCCCAGATCTACCTTGAGCAAGACCAGGTGATAGAGCCTGGTGGGAGGTGGGGCTGGGTGGGGGATGGCTGTGCATGGATGTTCCATCATTCTGTCTAGGATAGCTCAGAATCTGTTCCATCATTCTCTCCAGGATAGCTCAGAATCTGCAGTCCAGGCCACTCTCATGGAGTTAATGAGACAGTGAACATCTCTGGATTGCCTATTATGTTATCCAACATCCTTTGTAAGAGCATCTATGCAATAAATCCCTCTTGGGATGACAAATTGCTCTTTTTGAACTCTGAACAGAGACTATCCACTTTGCAGTAGAAATTTCATCTCTCCGGATAAGCTTGTTTGCCTCCTTTTATCTGCTACCACAAACTATATAACCTAACCACTGGCATCTTTGGAATTGCATCCTGTAAGTTTAATGTAGGTCTGTGTAATGGGCTACGGAAAACAGACTGGTCCAATGGAAATTTCCATTGAGGTTGCAAGTAATCATTCTTCCTGGAAAAATACTGCTGGACAAGATGGTAAAAATAATTTTGTTTTCTGAGAATCTTAAACAGAAAAGTACTGTCAGAGAAAGCCCAGGGACTTCAGTTTTTCCAGAAGCTTTGGAAGATCTTGAGGGTATTCACTCTTCTAGAAAGAAACATAAGATCTCCAGGACTGAGGATCCATGTTTGAGAGATGAAGTCAGATCAATGTCCAATTGAGAACCACAGGGGAAATGATGTGAATAGGCACCATTGCATGCAAGGTGGACCAGTGGTGAAAATGTGAGGTGCATGTGCCTGGACACTGAGGACAGAGGGGCTACCCACCTGAGGAATGGGGGGCAACCCTTTTCACATGTAGGTATTCAGCATTGCTGGTTCTGGCTCTAAGAGACCAACCAACTTCCCCCAAATCAGAACTCTTAACTACAATATATTTTCATTATTGCCTGGACTAGCAAGACATTCAGGGGTAAAATTGGTGTTCAGCTAGTGACTAGACATTCCACATTCCCTACATGTCTATTTCTTTGTAGTTCTTTTTTGGTCTTTTTTTGAGATTGTGCTAAAAAACAGAGGCAATATAGTTTTTCAAAACCAACTTCTATCCTCAAATAGTGACTTTTCATGAGGCTCTGGAGAAGAAAGGCACTCCCCATACAGTTAGTAAGAGGGCCTTTGCCCCCATGCTCAGTGTGTGTGTGGCTCTCCTCACCTTCAGGTGCCTTCATACTTGTCCTTACAGGAGCCTCTACTATGCCTATATCCCAAACACTTCTAGCTCCTCCACATTTCTCAGGCTCGATCCCACCCAAGCCCATCAATCTGTCTATCTGTCCATTCATCCATCCATCCACCTCTTCCTCCCTCCACCCACCTACTGTACTCCCCTAACAAACATTCAGTGCTTTTCTTCTGTGCCAGGAACAGAGCTATAAAGATAGGCAGGAATTAGTGCCTGCCTTCCAGCAGCCTTTGCATGTAGTAACAAAGAAGATTTACCAATAGGTACCTTCAAGAGGTGTTAGGACAGCTAGGGGAGTAGTAGGTACCAAGTTCAGAGGAGGAGGTGAGAGCGTGGACTTTGGGCCCAGTCTACCTGAGTTTCAAATTCTGACTCTACCACTAACAGCTGTGTGACCTTGGGTAAACTACTTAATATCAATGTATCTTGGTCTTCTCATTGGTAACATGGTGCCTCATTGTGCCTACCTCAGAAGGTGGTTATTCTGCTTATCTATTGCTGCATAAAGCCAGCCATTTTATTATATTTCACGCTGTCCTGGGTCAGTCGCTCAGGCTGGGTCTGCCACTCAGTGCATCTGCTCCACATTGTGTCAGCTGATGTCATGCGATGGTGTTCAGCTGGCCTGGAGGGTCCCGAAAGGCTTCACTCACACATCTGGCATCTCAACTGGGGTGACTGAAAGGCTAGGTCCAGCTGGGATAGTTGACTAGAGTACTCACAGGGCTTTTTTTTTTTTTTGAGAAGGACTCTTGTTCTGTCGCCCAGGCTGGAGTGCAGTGGTGCTGCGATCTTGGCTTACTGCTATCTCCACCTCCCAGGTTAAAACGATTCTCCTGCCTCAACCTCCCTAGTAGCTGGGACTACAGGCATATGCCACCACACCTGGCTAATTTTTGTATTTTTTAGTAGACGGGGGGTTTCACCATGTTGGCCAGGCTAGTCTCAAATTCCTGACCTTGTGATACACCTGCCTCAGCTTCCCAAAGTGCTGGGATACAGGCATGAGCCACCGTGCCCGGCCTACAGGCTTTTTATGCAGTATCCCAGGGCTCCCAGAGAGCATGCCAGGAGATGGGAGTGGCAACATCTTTTAAGGCCTGGGCCACAGCATCATTCCTGCCACATTCTACTGGTCAAAGCAGACCCAGAGCTTGCCTGGATTCAAGGCGAGATGACTGAGACCCCCACCTCTCCATGGCAGGAGTACAAAGAATTTGTGGCCATTCATGAAGCCACCACAGATATGTAAAGATTAAATGAGTTAATACATAAAAAGTAGTTAGAGCATTGACTGGGAGGGCAGCATTGCAAGTAAATGGTGGTGTTTGCACATATGACATGTGGGCAATTTTATGAGAGTCATGGTCTTTGCTAATCAAGGTAGATGTTCAGACTAATCAATATATGTAAAACACATAACTGACTAGTAACTAACGAGACACATATACTCTCCAGGGACATCCCAGAACAACCTGGTGGGAGAGGGCAGGATGTCACTCGGAGGCCTCTCCCCTGCCTTAGGATATGCAGAGTCCACTTGGAGTGGCTACTTGTATGGTGCCCTGGGCTCACAGATCCCTGAATGCACAGATGAGCAGAGACGGCTTTTGGCTGCCTGTCTGAGATCCCCCTCCTGGAGCCCATTGCCTAATTGGAAAGGGCCATTTCAACATCTTTGCAGAAAATGGAGTTTTTCTTTCCTTGATGTTGTGATTTGACTGGGAGTTAGCAAAGCATCAGTAGAATCCTAAACGTCTACTTTAAAAAATCAAGCCTTCATGTCAGCCTGGTGCGGAGCTCCGCTCTCCCTTTGTGGGAGGAAGATAAAACGCTTTCATGCATGTCCTCCCGCCTGTGAACACGGGCTGGTTAAACATTTCTGGTAATGGCTTAGCTGTGCCAAGGATTTTATCTTTTCCCAGGAACAGTTCCTGCCTTAAAAGGGCTTCCACAGGGAAGAGCCACAATGCATATGCAGAATGCAGGCTGACGAAGTCTTCGGGGAGGAGAGAGTATCTCAGAGGGGCAGGTGCAGCCACACTGTGGGCCTGCGTGCCTGGTGCTAATCTGGGCCCATTACGCGTACATCACCTGATTTAATTCACACTAAATTGCAAGCTGGGATGGGGCGGGGGGACATGAGGGTTATTTTTTATCTCTTTTTGTAATTGAAAAACCTGGAGCCCAGGAAAATGAAGTAAACTGCCTGAGGTCAAGCCCTTAATGTGAAGTAGAGCTGCAGTGTCTACTCAAGAGTGTCTGACATCTGCACTTTTTACTCTGCCGGGGTAAGCATGGGGGTCTTTCCACCCCTGTCATTGCATTTTACCCCCTGTTACTAACTTTCGTAAGGCCCCGGGCCTCAGGGGGTCCCCACTCTGGGGTGGACCCATGACTGGCGACAGGCTTGGTTGTATGTCTTCCTTAGGAAGACCCCAAGGCTACTAAGTCTGAATATGGGCACAAAACTAGGACAGAGATCACAAAGTACATTGCAGGGTAAAGAAAGGGAGTAGGGAAAATTAGCCTTAGGAGGAGGGAGTGGAGGCCAGTCGCTGTGGCTCACGTCTGTAATCCTAGCACTTTGGGAGGACGAGGCAGGCAGATCATGAGTTCAGGAGATCGAGGCCTTCCTGTCTAACACGGTGAAACCCCATCTCTACTAAAAATACAAAAAAATTAACTTGGTGTGGTGGTGAGCACCTGCGGTCCTAGCTACTCAGGAGGCTGAGGGAGGAGAATCGCTTGAACCCGGGAGGTGGAGGTTGCAGTGAGCTGAGATCGCGCCACTGCACTCCAGCCTGGGCGACAGAGCGAGACTGTGTCTCAAAAAAAAAAAAAAAAAAAGAGGGAGTGGATAAACAATGGTGCTGCCTGAGGAGCCAAGAGCTGCAGGTTCACATCCCAGTCATGTCATTAAATCACTGTGGCATGACCTTGGAAAAGTCTCCTCTCCACCTGGAGTCTCAATTTCCTCTTTTGGGTGCTGCTCATGGGTGCTCTTATGGGTCCTCTTATGGGTGCTGCTCATAGACTGCCGCTGCAGTGGCCCTAGATTCCGTAAAGATGGATATAGATGAAAGAGAATGGGAAGCAAGGACCTGAGAGGGCAGCAAAGAGGGGAGAGGGGCTCCAAGCAAAGAGAAAAATGGCCTGTAACCACCCTTTTCTCCAATCAAGAGGTAGATAAATCTTTATACTGCACAAAGGAATGGTCAGATAGGCATGTCTGAAACAGTGGAGGTAGATCTGTGGGGTTGGTTGCTAATTATACTCACTGCTCACATCTGATCAAGCCCAGTTTGATTAGCCCTGATTTTAGAGGGTTAGACTAGGTCCACTAGAGGAGAAAGTGAAGCCAAAACACAGCTGAGATAACGATCATGGACATTCCTTCAGAGGGCCATGAAAACAGCAAAGAAACGAACCATGGTGAGATACCTGTGGAAGCAGCTCTGCCCCACCCCACCCTCCAGTTCATTTGTCAATGTGCTGGTCTCTCCCTATAGTTTGTTCCCCTCTCTCTCATCACTGCCTGCATATGTGTTGAATATATGTGCATGGTTGTGTGAAAGCTTCACAATGAACCATGAATTGAAAAGCATTTAATTGGCCACTGAGTCATTGTGAGACCTCTCAGCCCTGGTCAGAATTAGTACAACTAAGCTGACTTAATCTGGCATGATATCATGGGAGTAGGTTTATTACAAAAGTGATTCCAGCCCTCTCTTCCTCCTTTACCCTCTTTCTTTGACCTTGTGCCGTGGGATGATGCAGCAAGAAGATCCTCACTAGGTGCTCCCTGGCTCTTGGATTTCCCAACTACAAAACTATGAGCCAAATAAATCTCTGTTTATTACAAATTACCCAGTCTCAAGTACTCTGCTATAGGAGCAGAAAACAGACTAAGACTGAGCACTGGTACTGAGAACTGGGACTGTTTCTATAACAAATGTCTGTAAATGTGAAAGCAGCTTTGGACCTTTATAATGAGCAGAAGCTGGAAGAATTTGGAGAAGCAGGTTAGAAAAAGGCTGTGAATGGACCATAATGGGCAATTCTGGTGCTGTTGCAGAAGAAGAAAAGACCTCAGGAAAGTCAGAATCTTCTTAGAGATTACGTAAGTGGTTGTGATCAGAATGTTGGTAGAAATATGGGCAGTAAAGGCCATTCTGATGAGGTTTCAGATGGAAAAGAGGAATATCTTATTGGAAACTGATGTCAAGGCTCTCCTTGTTATGAGGTGGCAAATAACTTGGCCGAATTGTATCCATGCCCAAGGACTTTATCAAAGGCAGAATTTCGGAGTGACGAACTAGGATAACTGGAGGAAGAAATTTCTAAGCAAAATATTAAAGGAGCTGCATGGCTACTTCTAAATGCACCTGGTAAGATGCAAGAGAAACAAAATGATTTAAAGACAGAATTTTAAGTAAAAGGGAAGCAGAGCAGAAAGAGTTGGAAAATCTGAAGTCTGGCCATGTAAAAAGTGAAAAGGCAGCCTAGCTCAGTGGCTCACACCTATAATCCCAGAACTTTGGGAGGCCAAGGCAGGCGGATCATGAGGTCAGGAGTTTGAGACCAGCCTGACCAACATGGTGAAACCCCATCTCTACTAAAAACAAAAATTAGCCTGGCATAGTGGCAGGCACCTGTAATCCCAGCTACTCGGGAGGCTAAGGCAGGCGAATCGCTTGAATCCGGGAGACAGAGGTTGCAGTGTGCCACGATCGTGTCACTGAACTCTAGCCTGGGTGAAAGAGTGGGACTCCGTTTCAAAACAAAACAAAACAAAACAAACAGTGAAAAGACATATTTAGGAGAACAAACCAAAGGTGTGGCAAAGTGACCATTTGCTAAAGCAATTAAGATGGATAGAAGGGAGCCAAGTGCTATTTATCAAGGCTATGAGAGAAAGACCCCAAGGCGTTTCAGAGATCTTTGAAGCTTTCCCTCTCATCACAGGCCCAGAGCAGGACCATAAGGGCAAAGTTTTCAGACTGGCATTTGCAGGACTTCAGTATTTGTTCCCCTGCACTGTCTTGGGGCTCTGTTCCCCAAATTCTAGCTTAGTGCCCCTTAGCCACCTTAGCCATGGTTTAAGCTTATCCAGGTGAACCTCGACCTGCCAACTCTGGAAGGTGTAAGCCATACATCGTCCACATGGTGCTGACACTACAGGCATGCAGAATGCAAGAGCTGCAGCCATGGCAGCTTGCATCTGGATTTCAAAGGATGTCATGAACAGCCTGGAGACCCAGGCAGAGACCTGTTGCAGGGATAGAGCTACTTTGGAGAGACCAAACTTGGGCAATGCCTAGTGAAGCCATGGGAGTGGGGTAACGCCCAAGACCCTAGGACTGTAGGCCTTTCTTCTTGACTATTTCTCCCTTTTAGGATGGGAATGTCTATCCCATGTCTGTTTCATCACTGTATTTTAGAAGTAGATAACTTGTTTAATTTCATAGACTGACAGGTAGAGAAAAATTTGCCTCAGGATGAGTCATGCCTTGATCTCATCTATATCTGACTTAGATGAGATTTTGAACTTTTGGATATTGAGTTGATACTAGAACAAGTTAAGACTTTTGAGGCTATTGGGATGGATTGAATGTATTTTACATGTGAAAAAGACATGAATTTTGGGGGCCACGGATAGAATGCTAAGGTTTGAGTGTTTCCCCCAGAAAGGCAAGTGTTGGAAACTTAATTCTCAATGCAACAGAGTTGGAAGAGGTGATTAGGGTGATGAAGGCTCTGCCCTTGTAATGGATTGATTTTATTATTGTGAGAGTGGATTTGTTAGACGACCAAGTTCAGCCCTCTCTTGCGGACCTCTCACTCTCTTTTCCTCTCTTCCATATGATGATGCAGCAGGAAGATCCTCACCAGATGTGGCCCCTCACTCCTGGACTTCCAAGCCTCCAGAATCATGAACCAAATACATTTCTATTTATTCTAAGTTACTCAGCCTCAGGTATTGTTAGAGCAGTAGAAAACAGACTGAGAAAGGCTGTGTCTCCCTCCTCAGACTGAAGGTTCCTTGTCATCAGATGCTGTGTCTATATCCTTTGTTCACTTGTTTGATATTTGCTAAGGACCTTTTAAGTGCCAGGCACTATTCTAGGTTCAGAATACTATGTTGAAAAGACAGACAAAAATCACTGGTTTTATGGAACTTACAAGTTAGTTGTGATAAATGACAATAAACAACAAACAAATTTAAGTTATAATAAGTACTAAGAAGCAAATAAATGCAGTGTAATTGTAATGGTAGGAGTGGCATGTTAACTGAAATAAATGAGTGACTGAGGCAAGAGTCTCAATCAATCAAGGTTTATTAAGCCAGAGCTTGAGGGTATGCATAGGAAAAACACAAGTCACAGCCGCATCTGCGGCTGTTTTTTCCAGAAAGTTTTTTTTTTTCCAGGAGGCTTAGTATTTATATACTTTCTTAAAGGGGAAAAGGAATGTAGGAAGGGAGGTGTGGTAAGTGCAAGAATGATTGATCTAATCTTGTCTTTGTTCTGTACCTGCAAAGATAAGCAGTATCACTGTGAAATCTAATAGACTTTAGTTTTAGGAACTACACTTTAGATTGCAGCCCTCAAGTTGTAATTGACATGTCCTTGTCTTGTGGGAGGATATGCATCTTGAAAGTTTTCAAAAGCATCTGGAGATGCTAGAGGCCTTTTGCCTTTCTGTGGGGATCTGGCTAATGGATAATACTTTGACACAAGGCTGTGGAGTGACAGCTAATCATCTGGGGAAAAGATGGTAGTGTTGGGTCACTCAGTCTCCAGGCTTAACATTTTCTTGGGCATAATGAGTGTGGGGTCCTGAGATTTTTTATTTTCTCTTACTGGGTGTACGTGTCTATTTAAACTGGCATGGTTTGGGCAGCCTCTCTGAGCAGAGGCTTCTTACTTATTTATTTATTTACTTATTTTGAGACAGTTTTGCTCTGTCGCCCAGGTTGGAGTGCAGTGGCAGGATCTCAGTTCACTGCAACCTCCACCTCCTGGGTTCAAGCAATTCTGCCTCAGCCTCCGAGTAGCTGGGACTACAGGCGCCCGCCACAACACCCGGTTAATTTTTTGTATTTTTAAGAGAGATGGGGTTTTACCATGTTGACCAGGCTAGTCTCAAAATCCTGGCCTCAAGTGATCTGCCCACCTTGGCCTCCCAAAGTGCTGGGAATTATAGGCATGAGCCACTGCGCCTGGCCGGAGGCTTCTGAGATGAGAGCTGAATGATGAAAATGAGCCAGCTATGGGAGGATGGTCTGGATGAACAGCAATTTTTTCAGGCAGAACTGACTGCAAATGTGAAGACCCTGAGATAGGAGAGAGGAAAAGAAAGAAGGTCAGTGTGTCTGAACTTACTGAGTGAAGGGGGTGGCACAAAGATGAAGTGAGAAACGTTGACTCGGGCAGTATGGAGATCATGCAGGGCCTTGTAGGTCACCAGGAACAGGAGCTTGCAGAGAACGGGCTGTGACTCCTATCCTAGGGGGTCTCCCTGAACCCCTGAGCTTTCTGTGGTTTCTCTGTAATATTCTGATGGGTATCTGAACATCTGAATGTAAGGACATTGTCTCCTGTCTCATATTCCTCTGCCCAGGACACAGAGCTCTGCTGACCCCAAGCAATAACGGAAGAAGTATTCTGCCCACGCCCTTTCTGCAGCTGCCTCTGGGGGCAGACCTGCTGACAACACTCCCTACCCTTTCCCAGCTTTGTTATTGCAGACTTGGTCTCCAGAGCTCAGCCACTCACTTCCTGGTCTTTAGCACCATCTTAGTGAAGCCAAAGAGCAAAAGACGTCCTTAATCCCACGTCTGGATTTACAAATAGGGTGCCTGCAAATCATGCGGTCTGGCAGACCCAGAAGAGGCAGCCCATCTTCAGCCTGTCTTCCAGACCTGGCAGTCATCACTGGAAGCCCCAGTGTCTCTTGCCTGCCCCTACAGCTCAGACCACCTATAACAAACGTCAGTGAAGGCCTGTCCTTGTCACTTCCCTCGCAAATGGGCTGTTAAAAGGCCAGGTTGGGAAGTCACAAGGATCCATTGTTGAAGTCTGGCAAGTTATTTAACTTCCTAGTTCCTCAGTTTCCCCATCTGTAAAAGATAATAGTATATACTTTTCAGGGTTGAAATCAGATCATAACTACTTGGCTCCATATGTTAAAAGGGGTAAAAATGATTATACTTACTATGTGCCGGACACTGTGCTTAGGAATATCTCATTTAATCATCGTAGCCATCATAGCTCAATGAGGAAGGTGCATGAGAATCCTCATTTCTCAGATGAAGACTCTGAGGTGTGGAGAGGTCACACAACTCTTGAAGTATGCTACCTACCAGGTACTGGTTCTCAGCCCAGGTTGGTACTATCTCCCTAGGGGACATGTTAAAACATGGGTGTGTGCTTTTGGATTGTTATGCTGGCTGGAACCACTGGGGTTGGAAGAGTAAATTTCCCCCCTTGGCAATGTATGGGTCTTATCATGTGTTGAATGTCTTACTCAGGAAAAACGAATCAGCTTCTGTTTTGAGAAACACTAATTACAGCAAAATCCCACATTAACAGATAACGAACTGAGTCCCAAATAAAGTGATGAGTCCAGATTCACTTGGTGCATCAGGCCAGAAGCAGGACAAGAGCCAAGCCCCTATCTTGACCACGAACCTTTACCATGTGGGGCCCAAGCCAGATTCTGGACCACCTGTAGAGGCAGGCCAGTTGGCAGCAATGGGTTGGTGCTTCCTCTCAAAATTCCATTGGGAATGGCCCTGTGATTTCCCCTTCCCAGCCTGAGGAAAACTTGCCCCCCTCCACCCTCTAGCCCCTGGCTAGAAAGATGTTCTCAGTTGTCTTTGATTGGGTTCTCAGATTTCCATCGCCCAAAGCCAATTTCCACAAAGGGAAGGTGTCAATAATTACATTTCTGCTCTCCATACCCTGTAATTAATAATTGCGATTAATCTGGCACACTTAGTCAAATATTGCAGGGCCTAATTGGTTTCCGTGCCTTTCTTCTTTTGATTGAGACAATCCTATTCTTGACGGTTCTGCAGCCAGCTGCAGTGAACTCAGCAGGACCTGTCAATTGCTTCTGCTTGGCAATTTGCATGACATTTTGGGAGGCAAAGCAGAGCAAAGGGGTGAGGTAGCTGGGCCTTCTGCGTTGGGGCAGAGAGACTGAGACAAATTGTTGGAAGGCAAATATATGAGGAAAGAAACAGTAGATAAGAGCTAGTTAGTAAGCTTTGTCTGTGTATACTCTTTCTCAGTGTCATCTCCTCTCTGGTGATAATGTCTTCTTCCTGGTATAAGAAGCATTTGTGTGTATGCACGTGTGTGCCTGTGTTGGGGGGTTGTGGGGTTGGGGCACCTTTACAAGGGAATTTATGTTCTGTTTTTATGTAGTAGGGGGGAGTCCAGAGAGCTTGTCCTGTGTCTGCCTTTTCATTATTGCATTCAGCTCAAAATAATCCTCATATACCTAAGTGGCATATTTTTGGCACAGCATACTCTGAATTCCTTTAAAATAAATCCCCTGTCTTCAAGTTTCTTCCTGAGATTTCTTTGCCATTCCTAATTACAGGTCTGAAATTCTACCATTGTAGGTTCATTTCTTTGGGACCTAGCAGTGGTGGGGGTAGTGAAGGTAGGGTAGAAAAACCTCCTTTTCTGAGGTTCCTAATTGCATCAGTTAGGATCCTTTTTATTATAAATAACAGGACACTTAGCTTGGTCCTAGGTAGCATAATAATTTATTGGCTTAATGATTGAAAAGTTTAGAGAGACTCTGGCTTCAGGCATGGTTTGATCCAGGGGTTCCCATTGTCAGAAGGGCTCTGGCTCCATTTCTCTTTGAGTTCGTTGGCTCTGCTACTCGTAGGCCAGTTTTCCCTTCTGGCCACCACCCTCTTCCCCACCACCATAGTGGCTACAAACTATCTGGACATACATAGCTTCTCTTCTGAGATGTTCCTGCAGAACAAGGGGAGGAATCGCTGGTGAAGTCCCCAGCAAACATCTCACAACTCATTGGCCTAGATTGGATTTTGTGTTCCTCTCACTTAACTGCCCCAATAAATCTCTATGGTCCAGGAGGGATATGCTGACTCCCTCAATCCCCTCAGGGCCCACCCAGAATCCAGCTTAAAGTCATCACACCCAAACCACATGGGAGACAAAGGAGGAGGAGCAGTGGCCCAAAGGAATGTCTGGTGCTGTTGGTCAGGAGGGCAGGGAAAAATGTGTCAGGAAACCACCAGTGAACGTCCACATGGCCACTGAAAATCGGTTACCCCAGGGCAGTGTCATCACATTTATTATGTAGCATGGGACTTGGCAAAATATGGCCCTTGGACCAAAGCACATGATTTTGTAGGTAGTTTCATCTGAGCACAGCTAGGCTCATTTTTCTGCATATTGTCAATAGCTGCTTTCATGCTACAACAGCAGAGTTGAGTAGTCGTGACAGAGACCTTACGGCCTATAAATGTGAAGTGTTTGCTTGTTAGCCCTTTAGAGAAAGAGTTTGCTGGCCCCTGATGGACTGTCAGAGTTAGAAGGGGAATCAGACATTATCTACTCCTATAGCTTTCCTGTCACAGTCAGGACTATCCCTAGAAATTTAGATCCTGGTCCCAGTGGGAGAACATGACTTACTGCTGAGGCTGAATGGGGGTTAGAACTGTTTGTTTAGTTTTGTTTTCATGAGCCAACATCTTAGCTGTGAAGTACACCCAGAACAGTTGAGGACCTAGATTGAGGTGGGAAAGTGGCCCAGGGTGTCTGGGAGAGGAGAGCGGGGATTCATAAGGCACCAAGAGCAGCTCTCACCTTTCCCACCTTCACCAGAGGCAGCTGGGCACCGAGCAGGCCATGGCAGGGTGTTCAGTGGAGACTTTGAGGCTGGGAAGGTAGTCAGGACATTCCTCACCTTCAGGACCTTATCTCCCAGGAGAGATAGAGACAGCATCTGCTCAGCCCTGACCCCCAGCAGATCTGCAGCCAGATCCCAGCCCCAGCCTCTGTTAGCTCCACAGTGGGTGCCTTAGAAAAAGGAGCAGAATTTGCATTTTTATGACCTTATCTCACATGCATCCAGCCGTGTGTGGATGAACCCAAGGACTACAGTCTTTCTGTGGTTCCTTTACTTAGATGTAGGATTCCATGCAACTGAAATCCATGGACAAGCAGGATTCCTCAGT